ACAGTTTTAAACTTATATGTGAATACTGTTTGGCTAATTAACCTAGCTCTGTTGCTAATGGCAGTAGGCCTCTTCTTCCGATCGGTCTCCGCCAGTCACGTGACATTTGTTGCTAAGACGCCATTTTAGGTGGAGAAGGCGTAGTGTAAACAACAGCAGCATAGCTAAACGAAGGACTAAAGGATTGAGTTTGTTTCTCTGACTATATGGAAAAAAGTAAGCAGAATGCGTAATTACCGTACCGGCAAAAACTTAATAACGAGGCCAGGGACCGTTACTTGTCGAAACTGTCGGATATTAACGGCATAGATCCTTATGATCTCCGCAGCAAAGACTGGAGCTCCGACGTCACTTCACTGCCTCCTACCTCATCAGTGGACATAACAAACTACCTAGTGTTTGGCGTCAGTGCCTACACTTGCAAGGAATTCAAAGCATATAAGTCACTGGAAGCACACGGACAGTTCACAAATGGCTCCTTTTTTGTCTGATTTAGACAGGGGGAATAGATTATAGCAGGTGGCCTGCTATAATTTGTTCCCCCCTTATAACTTTAAGAAATAAAGGTCAATCAACTCCAAAGTTTCAGGGGTCAGTTGTCATCATAAAAGATGCTTATAAGCCAAAAATGAAAAAGCTGGGGCCTTTTTTGTCTGATTTAGACAGGGGGAACAGATTATAGCAGGTGGCTTGCTATAATTTGTTCCCCCCTTATAACTTTAAGAAATAAACGTCAATCAACTCCAAAGTTTCAGGGGTTAGTTGTCATCATAAAAGATGCTTATAAGCCAAAAATGAAAAAGCTGGGGCCTTTTTTGCCTGATTTAGACAGGGGGAACAGATTACAGCAGGTGGCCTGCGATAATTTGTTCCCCCCTTATAACTTTAAGAAATAAAGGTCAATCAACTCCAAAGTTTCAGGGGTTAGTTGTCATCATAAAAGATGTTTATAAGCCAAAAATGAAAAAGCTGGGGCCTTTTTTGCCTGATTTAGACAGGGGGAACAGATTACAGCAGGTTTTATTTCATCCCATACTGCCAGTTCTGACAATATGGGATGAAACAAAACGGCTGATGTTAGAACACAAACTGTTTATTAAGGATAGTATAGATAAATTGTACGTTACTATAAACACAAATATAGATTTAAGTACTAAATTTCAACCAGGAAAAAATTATTTTCCTTCTGCATATAGTCTTTAATGATTACACGTGCACTCCATTTTCTATTTCATTTTTATTTCAAGTACATGGTTTACAACAGTTTTCAATGGGATGAGAACATTTGGACACTGTAAAACAATGAGAGATTTTTTTAAGGAATGTGTGGAAAAGAACAAGGATCTGTTTGCTTTCAGAGGAAGGAGTAGACACTGCTGTCAGCGACCAGCTTTCAAGCAAACGTTTGTGTTTTATTATTAGTTGTAAATCAATATCACTGGCTATATTCTGCTATAACATGTGAAGTAAAGAAAAAAACAGTGAAGCTCAACTTTCATCAGAGATGGCAAAAGTACTCACTTTCCGTACTTGAGTAAAAGTACAGGTACTTGTGTTAAAAAATACTCTGGTAAAAGTTGAAGTACTGATTAAACTTCTTTACTCAAGTAAAAGTAACAAAGTACAGGCTTGTAAATTTACTTAAAGTATAAAAGTAAAAGTAGAAACCACTTTTTTCATGCCGTTGCCTACATTTTAAATGGGTGTCTGCCAATAGGACTAGATCTCCGTTGTGTTCATTTTCAATCATCTCGTCGTCCATGCTACTATGCTAACGCCACCGCCACCAAGCTGCAATGATTTGCCGCCAATGAATACCGCCGAATCTGTCGATTCATCTTGTAGTGGTGCGTCAAATGCAACGTAGATTCCCATCCAATTAGATTGAATTTGGTATTGATGATGTGAAAAATAATAACGGTAACTCCATTGAAATGATTCAAAACTAAAGTAACGAGACAATTTTTTAAAATGTAAGGAGTAGAAAGTACAGATATTTGTGTAAAAATGTAAGGAGTAGAAGTAAAAAGTCGCCATAAAAATAAGTAGTAAAGTAAAGTAAAAATATCAGAAAAATCTACTTGAGGATGAAATATAGACACTGCTTCCCAATGTCCAAAAAGTATGATCATGGCATATGGCACAACAGACATTTCTAGTATACAGAATTCTACCACACATAAACATTTTGAGAATTTGGAAACAGTTGCTCTTTATCTCCTAAAGATATGGGAGGAGGAGAGGACAGATGGATGCTTCAGCTGTTCCCCCTCCAAAACATGGAAAGAAAATAATATATCTGCAAGTCTTTAACTGTGTTTTTTCCTCTTTTCATCACTAACAAATATTGTGAATTTGGTAGCATTTTTTTCCTTAATTGCCAGAGTTATGAGGGGGGAACCATATATTTTAGCTGCTTGAAATAATCAGTTCCCCCTCCATTACATCTTAAGAAATTAATTTACCTGCAAGTCTTTTACTGTTTATTCCTCTCTTTATCAACAACAAACCCTGTGGATTTGTAGACATTTATTAATTTTTTGCCAAAATTAAAGGAGGGTGCCATATCTTTTAGCTGACTGAAATAATCCATTGGTTCCAAGCAGAAACAAAAAAAAAAAAATTGGATCAGTTTGTGTTGGAATCAGCCTATTGGTCAACCTCCAATTCTACCACCTCTGATGATTTCAGACATCTGCTTTTGTTTTATCCTGGCCTTGATCGGATGATACAAAAGCTCACCCTTCAGTTTTCAGATGTTGGAGAGAAACTTAAGTCAGACATTCCAGCCTGTAACCCGAACTCATTGACCTTTCTCTCTGAAGATGCTTTAAAAAGCCTTGCCTTGCCTTGCATTATAAGATTCAGCTAAAGCCATAGGGAACTCTTTGTGGCAAAAATGTCATTGTGAGAGTGATGGGGGAAAGAGGAAGTCCCTGACGCAGCAACTGCGTTCACCTACTTGATGGAGACTTGTTTCCCAGACTGAAGGCGATCCTCAAAGTGGCGCGCAAAGTGGTAACTTGCGACGTCTTCACACATGGTTAAGGAGGACCATGAGCCAAGACAGGTTCAATGATCTAGCCATCACGCCCATTGAAAAGGACAACCTGCATGATATATCTCCTGATAACATCATTGACAGATTTGCTCAATTGAAGCCACTCTGGCAGAGCCTTATGCTGCCACCACAACAAAATCTGTAAAGACACAGGAGAGGAAGGAATGAAAGGAAGAGAGGAGAGGAAGGAGTGGAGAGAAAGTTAGAGGAAAAAATCTACAGAAATGGAAGTCACAAAAATTTGGGAAGAAAGCAAAAGAGGAGAGACTGGAGATGAAAAAGGGTTCAGAATAAAGGATTGAAAAACTTAGCAGTAAAGGACAGCTGAGGTGCCAGCCAGGGTCACAGGCAGCCTGCAGTAACGAAATAGGATGCCTTGTATTGTACTTTTCACATCTTTAGTTTATGATCAGTCTGAATAACTTTTTTTTTTTCATTCAGTGGATGGTGAGGGATATGTTCATGATAAAAGATGCACGCTCTGAAGTCTGGCGGCCAGTCCCAGCTCATGGACCCTAAGATGAGACCTAAAACCAGGGGGGACAGGGCGCTCTCTGTTGTTGGTCCCAGACTCTGGAATGCTCTGCCCTTCTGTTTTCAAACAGCCCCCACCGTGGAGTGTTTTATGTCTCGTCTGAAGGCAAACTTTTATTATCTTGCTTTTAACATTGCGTGAGTCTTATTTTCCAATGTGTCTATTACTGTTTTAGCTGAGTTTCCTATTTCATTTTATTGTATTATTTTCTTGCTCTCTTTTGTTTTTTAAGTCTATTTTATGATTTTATTTAATTATTATTATGATATATTTTATATGTGTAGCACTGTAATGAACATGTTTCTATTTTAAATGTGTTATAAAATAAAGTAGATTGGATTGAATAAGACGATTCTCAGTGTCTATCTGCTGTGGTAAGTTGAAATAGAAACAAATTGTAGTTTTGTATGCGGGGCATCAAAAAAAAAAAAAAAAAGATAAAAAAAAAACAAATTGAAATTTGCACGATCAGGGCTAAGCCCCTGATCTCCTAAAATCCTAGATCCGCCCCTGTCAGCAACATCATCAACACTACTATCTCTTCTAATCTTAGCATAAACAGATGCTTTCTATGCTATCTAATGAACAATCCACATGTCCTTCTGTGACATCTGTAAGTATTAATAATCAAAATGGCTACTGATTAGGAATACCACACATAAACTATGTAAAAAAGGCAGAACCCCCTTACTCACAGATAATAGAAATTATTAAAGAACTGTTTGTTCCTCCTTCCTGCATAATTTTAAAAATGTTTTAGGAACTGTGTTAAAAACGTTTATTCAAACTATACTATGATCAATATTGTAACCTCAGGTAACAACAATATATACTTTATGCTTGAAAGAATTTAATTAATCTGTAAAATGAATAAGTGTTCTCCCACTATAGAGCCTTATTAGTTGATGTATCAACTCAGCATAGAGTACCTATTAATATCAAGGCCAACATATTCTTAGTTGGTTCATAAACTCTTTCTTTCTCATAAATTCTTCTAAGTTCAATAATCTGTGACTTGCATTAAAAATGGAAGCATCATTTTGCATATTAAACATTTATTGTAAAACAAAAATATAGCAAAAGTCCTGATAGAGGCAATATATTTCTTTAAGCCACTTCGTACAGTACAATATTTATAACCATGATACCGGAAAAGTATGAGTATACAGTATATTTATATATACTGTATATATATTTATATATATATATATATATATATATATATATATATATATATATATATATATATATATATATATATATATATATATATATATATATATATATATATATATATATATACTGTATACTTTATTTTATATATATTTTTTTTTTACCCGACAAAAAGCCAACAGAAATATTAGGATTATAATTAACCCACGATTCAGAAAAAATGGGGTGAGCTTATACCTTAGAACAAATGAAATTCAGTTCCTCTGTGTCATTTCCCTGAATCCACCTATGTTTCCCTCTTGCGTCTATGGCTCCAGACATGTCACAGTTTCTCATCTGTTCTTCTGAGACCTGGCTTTCACGGTTAAACCTGATCTCCTTACAGACCCAGAACCACATGTTTTTAAAGCAGTTGTAGCGCAGTCCAATCCAGACATAATCAGTCGAGGCGTTCTTGGCTTTCTCCTGGATCCATCTCTGCTCATCCAGGCTAGTGAGGGTGACCAGGTCATGGTAGTGACATCTGCAGTAGTTTAAGGCATCCTCCCAGGTTTTATTTTCTTTGACCAGGATCACTTTATCTGTTACAGGAGATATGGATGTAAACAAAGCAATTTCCATCATTGTTTTGGTTCATTTTTAGAAACAAGAACCAAAAAATGAACTATGGATAAACTGAAACATTTAGTTTTAGAGAACATTTGAGTTTCAACCAATAATTTTACCCAAATGAACATAAAACATTTGGGCAAAAAGGTATTTTCAATAACTTCTAAGTACTCTTTTCAGACACAAAATACACATATTAAGGTTAACAAATAAATCCATTAATTCAGCGATTCTCAAAAATGGTCATCAAGAACCACTGGCTGATTCATATAAATGAACGATTTACTGGCTTCTAAAGAGTGCGAAGGACATCATGCAATTATTTGAAGCAGGTGTGAAGCAAGTGAGAGACATGCAGGCTGAATGCAGTAAACCAGCAGAACTTATATTTGGAGGTAAGTGTTTCCTCCGCCATTAGTTCTCCGTTACACCTGCTGCCACATTCCAGCAAGCCTGTAGTGATGCACACTTGCTATTTAAGGGCTGAATGGTCCATTTGCCCTACCCACTACAGGGTTTGGGATGGCAATTTTTTTTTAAAATGGATATTATCAACTCCACAGAAAACCTCACCTCAAACAGAGGGTTAGTGCTCAGGGTTAGGGTTTAGGGGCATGGGAATTGGGCCTAAAACATACATGTTAGTACTGCTTGAGGAACAGTTTTGAGAAATAAACGGCATTATTTAATTAACCCCACACATTTCTAGTATCTATTAATATTGGATCAACTTACCATCATAACAGATGAAGGGTTTTCTCTGATCACAGCTTTCAGTCTTCCATCTGCCTTCATCATCAGTCCCAGCAACAGCACATCGACCAGTGTTGTATTGCTGATTGTTTAACTGGTCATTCCAGTGTCTTAAAGAGAAACTGCTTCCATCTGACCACCTCCAGGTGTCTCTGAAGAGACCAAAGTATGTTTTAATCTGTGTAGAGCTCATCACTTTCTCCAGTTCTCCATCCTGTAGCTGCTTCATTCCACTGATCAGGTCTGTGTGTTTCTCTCTGCAGTAACTCTGAGCTTCCTGCCAGGTCTTCCCCTCTCTAATCAAGTGGTATTTCTGGGTTCTATTAGTTTCTGTGGAGTAAACAGATAAACACACATCACATCAACTTTAAATTCTTCCCTTTTTAGAAAAACTAAATTTAATTAGCTGTCTAAAGTATACAGTTTAGTAATCCATAAAACTACAAACTTCCAAATTCTTACCATCATAACAGAGGAAAGGTCTTTCAAGTTCACAAGGAATATTTTGCCATTCAAGATTTGACATCAGAATCCCACAGTTTTCAGTCACCCCTTCGTGATCATTTGGTTCTCCTTGGTCCCAGTTTGTCTCACTTTCATTGAACTCTACTTCAGGCAGAGACCAGTACCATGTTCTGATACCATCTCTCTGATCATACAGACCAATCCAAGCATCCCTATTATATCCTGCTCTGGTACTGAGGAGTCTCTTCATGTCTGTCATGTTATACACTGTGGCCAGGTCAGTGTGGTTCTCTCTGCAGTACTGCTGAGCTTCAGTCCAGGTCTTTGCCTCATTAATGTAGAGATACTCATAGAGCTGACAGTCGATGAAACAACTCTGACCTGAAAATACGAAACATGTTGCTTTATTTTTAAATAAATAATAACATCTCCACCAGCATTTACTGCAAACTTGTTCTTATTTTTGTTTAGGTATGGGCAGTTTGCTCTGTAACTGGTGGGTTGCTAGTTAAACTCTCTGCTCTGTCCAGCTCAGTCGTTGTGTCATTGGTCAAATCATCCACCTTCTCTGCTGTTGGTGCTGATTCAGTGACTTTGCTTCTGGCTGCCTCAGGGCAGCTGTGGTTACAGTGTAGCTCAACACCATCAGCATATAAGTGGTTGTATGACTAATTATAAAAAGCTATATCTGTATTGAATCATTCTGCAAAGTAACAGTAACCTGTTAACCTCTTAAAACCATTCTGAATTAGGCGACCCAATGGACCTTAAGTGGGGGTAAAGCCCCACAGCTCTGGAACTAGTATAGCTAGAGGTCTGAACTTTTCTGCATTTGGGGTTGATATGATGTAGAACAAATATAATACAATAAAACCTGCCTATTCTCAAGGATATCTTTATTACTGCCGTTCAAAAAAGACCTATCATTTTTTGAGAATAAAAAAAGCAACTTTGAGTCATGTTTGGACTGATGCAGGTTGGTCTGTGTTCTAGTCACCCAATTTTAAATGTATATATTAGGAAACACACATGCAATTTGGGCTTACAGTTCCTAAGTTCCATCACTGAGGTCTAGAAACAACAGATCTATGTATAGCCATTCAGCAAAGATACTGTTGTAAATTAAGTTGTAAAAAAAAGTTAACAAGTAAAAAGGTAAAAAGCTAATTGAAAATTTAAAAAACAAAGTAAAAAAGTTAAGAAGCCTAGATAACAATTGTATTAGGTTTATAAACTAAAACATGTAAGTGCCAGTATCAGTATTCAAAAAAATAAAGTTATGCTGGATCAAAAAAAAATTGCTTTTTTTGAGTGTTTTTCATGAATTTCCTATAAGAAGTTATTTTTCTTAATATATTCGGGCAAGTTGGTCTTTCTTGTTATAAGATCATTTTGCCATCAAAATTTCCATTTTTTTTGTGTCACAAAGATAATAAGGTCTTTTCCTGGATTCCAATAACACTAATGGTCTGAAATTTTGATTTTCAAAGTATTTCACTGAGTGCCCTATAAAGGGTTTTAAGAGGTTAACTTAACTTACCCATCAGGAAGAGCAGAATCAGACTCCACTTCATCGCTGCTCTCAGATGATTTATTTTCCTCAGAAAATGTTTCTCTATTAAAGAAAGATGAAAACTTTAAATCAAGGTTTGAAAACTTGCAGAATCCCTCAACTGTAGAGAGAAACACTGCTGAAAGAGCAGAGGAGCTGAAGCCAAACAGGAAACCTAGCACACAGCAAAAACTGGAAACTTTAAATAAATGATAAAAAATTTGTTAACCTTGAAAATGAAAATAAAGCCTATTTAAAAAGGTTAAACCCAAGAACACAGATTGAGCTCAAACTTACCTCTACTTCCGTTCTTTCTTAGTAAATTTGATGTTCTCTCCTTGATCCTCTGCTAAAAACTGTTCCAGGTAAACTGTTGGTATCTTAGTTTCTCTGACCAGTAGCTGAATTTGAATATTTTATAATTTAAATATTCAAAAGCATGTAAGAGCATGTTTTACACAAAGACTGGTAAAAAGACTGAGGAAGGGATAAATATATCTTTGATAAACCCGCCTCTGTAGTTCATAGGAAAGATACTATTTGAATAATTGCAAAAACTAAACAGGAAGAAAAACAGAGCTTTTATTCAGTGTTGAGTTTTACTGCTAGGAATCCTGCTGCACACATGATGAATTCTCATTGCTATTTTTTTACCATGTAAGTTATTTGCCTTTTTAATTACATCTTTGTTGGTCTACAAACTGCTTATTAAAAAAATTCATTTGAATATTAAAAAAATATTTAAAAGCTGCATTGACAAGAAATATACATTAAGCTGACATTTTAACATAAATAATCTGGACACTTTTTTCATGTTTGATTCATTTTTTGTTTTCATTCAGCTCTTATAACTCATTGTTATTTTATTCTCATTGTTTGATTATTGAAAGTATTTTGTGTTATTACTATAATTGTGACTTCTTTGGGTATAGGCTATGGAGGACCAACTTTGCCATATTTGAAAATAAATACAGAAATAAAAAAATGCTCAATAGAAAAATAAGCAAACAATGAATTGCCCCCAAAAATACAATAAACAAATAAATATAGATAGAAATTAAATTATACAGTGAAACATAAATGTATATGTCTTTTAATTAGTGTAGCGAACGCAGTTACACAAGCATTTTTCTGTGTGAATTTATTTCTTGTTTTTGTGAATATGAATGTTTTACTCTTCATATCAAGTTCATATTTGTGTATTTTTTCATTAATATTGTAGCATTAATGGGTTGCTATAGCAATAACTATCCAGAGATGACTTCAGTTTAGCGGTAGCTTCCGTGCCCCGTACACCGCACAACTCCGGAAGGCTTCCTCTTTTATGAACTCACCCACTTTCCGTACAACCAGGAAAGGTCATTAATGGACATATCTTCCAGACTCATGGTGGGACAAAGAATACTTCAAATTATAACAGCAACTAATGATACAACAGACACAAGAACAGTAACAAATAAACATGTAACTTAATAACCTGGAAAGAGTGAAATAACATTAACTGGCAGCTTCTAAAACTGAACATGCTGCCCAGTGCATGCTGGGAAAACTAGCCTCTGCTGCCCCAACACACTACAATATGTACATACTTTGGGGAAATATTGTAATAATGTCAGATGGAGACGTCACTGGTTAGTTATCACTTGATCACGTGATGCCTTGGATGGAAAGTTCTGAGTTTTGTTTTATACTCGGTCGGCGTGTGCAAGAATAAAGGCAAAGGACTGAAATACAGAAGAAATAGACGTGTAAGGACTTCTAGCAACTCCTAACCTTCTGGTTGGAGGGGCATACGGTATGGACAATTGAGAGAATTTATATTTTGTTTAATAAGTTTCAGTTGATAATTCATATAAGGGAATATGACGGTTTCACTGATGAATATTTTCCACTGTGTATTTTGCAGTGTTCACGGTGGTCTTGAGCGTTTGTATGACGGAAAATCCTGTAATAAACGTTTGTAACCATCAGTTGGATAATTGCACTTTCATCGACCAGTTAGAAAAAGTTGGGAGCAGCTATAGTGAACACGTGCAGCGCAGCCCGTGGCCCGTGACCCGAGAACATCGAGGGATGCCGCGCAGTGAATGCAAGCTGTGAACTTCTAGCCAGCCATGCCGAGATGGACGGGGGAGAAGCAGAAAAGACTGCCGCAGCTTGAAGATAACTAGTCGGCGGCTCGGGGTGACAGCTCGCCTGCGGCTGGGGAGGACTGCAGCTCGTCTTTCCACCTCTGCATTGCCTTGCAGGGCGGGGCGTCAGCTTGCAAGCAGGATAAGGACTGTGTCGTTTCCACAAGTCACCACAAGAGAGCAGCAGCGCGCTGTGGTCGTGAGTAGCAGCCTAACACCAGCCCTAGGATTCCAGGTTTTTTCAGTTGATAAGAAAAGGACATTATAACTTGTAAATATTTAAATTTAAGAGTGAAAGGCCATTTTGTGCATATTTCTGTGAATATTTCTGGCCTGTGTTAATAAGTAATGTTGGCATTCCTACTTTGGATTTTTTTTGGTTTAACATGTGCAGGATTGATGTTTGAAATTAATACTGAGGATTACTTCCAGCATAGGTTTTGCTAAGGTTTAAGATTCTAGTTACTACTTTACTTGGTGTTATTTCAAAATAATTCAGAAAATGGATAAAGGCAGAGAGAGAGCTCTTGTACTTGAGGGAGTAATTCAGGCTCTTGAAGAAGAAAAAATAGACTTAGAAACCAAGTTGGAAACTGAAACAGATGAATCATTAAGAGACCAAATGACAGAACACATTGCTGAAATTAACAGCATTCTGCAAGCACATAGCATAGAGAGCCAGGAACCAGCTTCTGAACCTGAACAACTCAGGCGATCAGAAAGAGAAAGAAAACCAACTGGAAAGTGGCTTGAGTATGCAAAAGAAGAGAGTGCAAAAAAGGAAAGAAAGTTTATGTTAACTTATGTAAGCTTTAAAGGTGAGGTTTAGTACATTAGGAGCAAGCTCAAAGAAGAATGTGACAAAGAGCATCTTGAAAGTATGACTGCTACTTTGGAAGAATGAGTCACACTTAAAACAGGAGTACGAAAGCTTATGTGCATTGACCACACCAAGCCAAGACATAAGACAGCGAATGGATAGCTGCACCTCAGTAACCAAAGAAGTAGTTGATCTGTTAAAAATGCGCTGCTCAGAGGTAAGCAAAGAGTTTGATGCTGTCGCAGTGAAGGAAGCACTAAATTACTTCAGAGAGATGATGCGAAATCGATATATGGGTCCACTGTATCAAGAGCTGGCACACATAGCGTGGCAGGAAGTCAAGTGTCATTGAAGAAAGCAGAAGTAGCAGCACGCTTAGCATCAAAACGTGCTGAAACAAACAGAGAGAGTGAAATAGCTGCACAAAGAAAGGAAGTGTTTGCTCAGCAAGAGAAGTTGAAAATGCTGGAACACCAAAAGGATCTGGAAGCTATGCAAGCTGAATTTGATGTGTATGAAGAGGTGGAAATGAAAATGAACGCTGAAACAGGAGAGAAGCAAGAAAAAATGTTGCTTTCAAGTCAGCCCCAAGGAGAAAAGAAAAACATTACTCTGTCTCCAAGTCAGTTCCAAACTCAGCATAACATAGCTCAATATGCTCAGACTCTTCATGACACACCAGTCCCTCCTCGTTCTGAAAAACAGTCAGAGCAAAAAGTGAATGACGCAACACTAGTGCAAGCTTTCAAAGAATCTCTTATGATGACAAGACTTCCAGCACCTGAGCCATCTGTGTTTAGTGGGGATTCTCTCAAATTCACTGAATGGAGAACCAGCTTTAAAGCCTTGATAGAGACTACCTGTACAAGCCCAGCACATAGACTGTTTTATCTCAGAAAATACATCAGCGGAGATGCACTGTCTGTGTCGGAAGGAACTTTTTACCGAAGCGATGATGAAGCATATACGCAAGCCTGGGATGCACTGAACAAGCGCTATGGCCATCCATTCATAGTGCAAAGAGCCTTTAGGGGTAAACTTAATAGCTGGCCCAAGATAGGACCAAAAAAGCCACTGAAATTAAGAGAGTTCAGTGATTTTCTTGTGTCATGCAAAAATGCAATGCCTCACATATCAGGTCTTAAAGTTCTGGACGATTGTGAGGAGAATCAAAAGCTACTCCAGAAACTTCCTGACTGGGCAACAGCTCGATGGAATCGACTTGTCACCAAGGAATTGGATGATGGCAAGCCATACCCAAGTTTTGAAGCGTTCTCAAACTTCTTAGCCGAGGAGGCCCGCATTGCCTGCAACCCTGTTTCCTCGCTTCATGCTTTGAAGAAGGCAGATGAGAAACCAGCCACAGAAGTGAAACACATCAAAGCCAGAACCCTAGTGACAACAACAAAGGTTGCGCAAGGAAAAGGTCACACAGCTAAAGATTCAGATGAATTAGCAGGCTCGACAGTCAATTCATCTGCTGCTCAAACTAAGAAGCAAATAAAATGCATATGCTGTCAAGAGAACCACTTCATTTACAAATGTGAAAAGTTTGCTGCTCTGACTCTTGAGGAGAAGAAAGCATTCGTCAAAACCAACAATATGTGTTTCGCCTGCTTGAGAGTTGGCCATGTTGCAAAAGATTGTCGGAAAAGGGCTACATGCAATGTTTGTAGAAAAGGCCATCCAACTCCGCTTCATGATGAACCGGCTCAAGAGGTAAAGCCTGAAGTAAGCCAACAAAGAGACAGTACTTCTACTGCTTCATGTAGTATGAACATGACCAATGCTGACTGCACTTCAATGATAGTCCCGGTGTGGCTGTCTAGTTCTGTCAAGACTAGCCCAGAGATCTTAGTGTATGCTCTGTTAGATACACAAAGTAATAATACATTTGTCACTGAAGATGTGTGCGAAAAACTGGAAGTACACACTGAGCCAGTTAAACTCAAGTTGTCAACCATGATTGACAGGTCAATTGTGAATTGTCACAGAGCCAGTGGGTTAAAGGTCAGAGGATAAAGTTCCGAAGAATTCATAGAACTACCTCCAGCTTACACTCGAGAAGAT